TAACGCACTGCAGATAAAAAAATAAAGTGAAGATTTCTGAAGATGTTTTTCAAGATCAGCACTTTTTAGTCCAAAATTTTTCGTTTTTTATATAAACATGGAAGAATTCCTGACGCTCTAGCTATTATGTGGTATCATTCTAGCTATTTCATCATGACCTCGCAAAAACGACCATACATACAGAATGAGTATAAATTTCGTGATAGAAGGCGGAAACCCAAACACACCGAATTTCAGCAGAATCCTTGATAGTCTAATATTTCCACGCACACTACGATTTTTGGATGACATTTGGAAGCTTTTTTGAACATTTCCTTTTTATCTATTGGCACACTCTTGTGTATAACATAAATAAATAAATATACACCGTATAACCACCGTAACCCTCACTGCGATGGCAGAGCTGGCAAGACAGTGGCTGCATGACTTACTGGTGTTACATAATCTATGTAACACCAGGATTTAAGTGCGCTATTTAAAAAGAGAAAATTTTGCAAAAAGTTGCAAAATTTTATGTGCCTTTAAAAATTACAAGTAAATAGGTTTGATTACCTAATATCGAAATTTTTTTAAAATATCCACTTTATCGCTATGAAACCCAAGGACATCGTTGTTTGCTACAAATGTGATTAGTAGCCAGTCATAAACCAATTTTGAACCCTGTTATCCATCATGCTTCGCTAACAGCTGATAAATTTCTTTTAGAAAGCACTTGAGCAAAAACAACAGTACGAGGAAGCTAGAAAACTCAAAGGAAAGAGAATTCGTCAAAAGAAGAGAGTGCGACTGTCTGACAAGAGGTAAAGCCAAGAAATCAACAAATTTGTTCGGAACCATTTCTCCTAACCTCACTATTTACTGTAGCTTGGTTCAAAAATATTTGTAATTTTAACTGATAAAAATAAAAAAGTAAATAAAATCACAGGGGTAGTTAATCAAACAGACATTTAGTAATTTGTCTACATACGCAGTTTGTTGCCAAGGTTTGTGATTCTGCGAATTGTTTTGGATTATGATGTTGAAAACAAATTGATGCAAACAATGACGCATAAACATCATTAAAACTAAGATCACATCCTTGTATTACGCATTTATTTCGCTAAAAAAATTATGAAAAAAAGGAATGAGATAGGGTCACAAAAATACCACGATTATTATTATTTTCCCCCATATCCCAGGTAAGAATATCAGTATCCGGTATTTCCTGAATGAGCTCAGCTCTTATACTTCCCTTTTTAAATTTATTAAGACATGGGAGTCATCCGCTAACAAGCAAGTAATTATTTACGCATTTATGTACTTCCGTTGACTAACATTACAGACATTTTCTTTGCTACTGAAATAAATGACGGGTTAAAGAAGTAATGGCAGATCATGCATAGCAAATGGCAAGATGGCAAGTTGAAGGCTGTCATTTGGCAAGTTCTAGTTTTTTTCCTCGTTGCTTTTCTCTTTTGTAATTCCAGTTTCCTAGCCAGAAATAGAGGAGAGGGATTCTGTTGATGTACTAGTATGACTCTTAGAGATTATGACTTCGTACTAGGCAGTCAACAAACCTAAAAAAGATAAGAATCCCAAGCTTATCGCCACATAAGGCTCTAAAAAGTGTGAAGCCCTTAGGTATCTCTATTTGAGAGAGCGAAAACTCAGAACTCAGTGGTAGTCTTCCAAATTTTCCCAATGTCCAGTTTAGTTGTTTGTGGAAAAATTTCCTAATACCGTAATTACTGAGGAACAAACCATGATCATATCAATTCTAGTTGGCCAGACTCTCTTTCGTACTGATTTTTCTTCCAACGCCAAGTTTCTCACTGTGCTTTCACGTCAGTGAACAGCAAAAGCACAAAAATAGAACGAAAATTTCTTTGATAGCACAGATTCTTAAAATTATGCAAAAATCTCCCAAAATTTTCTGTCATGTTTCAGAAATAAATAGCTATTATATGATTGATCTGTGAATATACTCAAGCAATTAAATACAGTAAAGTATGATATGCTCATAGGTCGTCCAGATTATCCTCGTGAACCCAACGCCGCGCCATCGCCGTGCCAGCGCCGCGCCGGGCTACACTCAATTTTCATTTTCATTTTCATTTATTCATAGGCAGCGGCAGCAAGACGTTGGAACGGTGCTGGCACGGCACTGGCACGAGCAGTTAGACGCGCCTTAGTGTGAAAGAAGGACTAAATTAGACTGAAGTTGCTTATTTAGTAGATACGAAAATAATGAATATACTCAGCAAAAGGTTGAATGTTATGAAAGCCCAGTATGGCTAGTATACAACACATTTTTTTTATCAACTTTTATCGATTTTTCCAGGATTTTTTTTCTTCTTAGCTAAACTCGCTTTCGAGAGTACGTAATCGAAAAGATCCTTGGTGCTATTGTCTTTGGTGCTACTGACTGTCGAATTAAAAAAGAATCATGGAGCAAAATTTGATCAAGATAGAATTGGTTCAAGTGCGGTTTCAAAATGAACTCCAAACAAGTAAGCGGCTACGAAAGCAGCAAACAAGCGTATAGTTGCGGTGTATGATTGAATCGACCAAATGAGCCGGAAAGAGAGTATTGTAAAGAGAATAATAAATCATCAAATAGAGTGATCTGAAATGAATAGCTGAATGTGCTTTGATGTGTATCAAGTGCATTTAAGATTACGCTAAACACATGAATAAATGAGAGACCGAAGTGAGCGTTCAACGCGCGCGCGCTTATTTGCCCTCAAGTTGTTTTGGTTACACAATTTACTGTCGTTGTGTGTAGTCCTTTTAGTGCTAATCCACCTGATTGTACTTTGGTTACATAGTAGTCGAATAAAAGAGATTTGAACACGGATCAAATGTGTTGAAAGGATTAAACTAAAGACACTTATAATAAACTGTTAGGGATGACTAATGTGCACTCGCTAGCTGACGTCGTAAACAACGTTCTCTCGTGATATGATTGATAAACTAAAGCTCATTTAGGGGGGGGGGGTATCCCTTGAGTGCGAAGAAACCAAACCAAAACGTCAAGATTGTTCTCTAAGAAACAGAAGTCAAACTTCAGTATACTTTGAGGTTGTACTCTAAAGATCCGTCGTCATATGCACTTCAAGATGAACCATACATTACTAAATGACATCTCATAAAGCTTACTCACCCCTATTTCGGTCAAAGGTGACCAAGCTAAAGGTGAAAAATAATGAAATAATGAAATAAAGATCTATGGCTTCTCTTACAAAAAAATCAACCATACCTGGTAGAAAAAGCTAAAACTTTCAAGTGAATCCGAGACTTCGATCGATCTACCGTAGACCTACCGTAATCCCCAAAAATGGCGGCGGAAATTACTGTAATCGTAATCAACTAAACAACACACTTTGGTCAATGACTTCGACCATCGTGATCCTGACCTTCTGATTCCGTAAATGGAAAAAATAATTATTTTTCAATTTTTCATTTTTGAATTTTTAAAAGAGGCCTGAGCATATAAACAGTATTTTTGATGCTCCAATTTTCAGCTGCGGTGATCATTCGTCAAAGAAGTCGCTGTCGCTAGTCCGATTTAGAGTCGGTTCCGTCAACTTTTGGCGGCTAGAAGGCGGGGCTTCGAGAGCTAATTAAGGCTAGATAATGATCAGAGAGCACGCGAGCGAGAGGGACGCAGACTGCGTCGCGGGAGCGAGCGACCTTAATTAGGTCACAAAGCCCCGCCTTCCAGGGCCGCTGATTCAAAAATTTTTCATAATTTTATACCATTTTTTTATACTTGTGAAATCAACTGCGTCCTGAACAACTAATATTAGTCTCCTTAGAAGCAATCAATGGTGCCTGTTCATTCCTTCCATCATTCAAAAATTATTTTGGTCATAATTTCCTTAAAATTGAGAGCGAGGCTACCCTCGGAAGTCAACAACATAACTTCAGGGTCTGCGGACAAAACCAGTGCAAATACCATTACAACAGCAAACAGATATGCACATAAGAAAGGAAGTGCGCGGGGTGAAGGGAGGGGGGGGGGGGTGAAGAGGTGTATCGACGCAAAAGTTTCTGTTATAATCCATATTAAGTTGATAGATGTGCTAGAAAGTTTTGAGTAAGTGGGGTGATAGACGTGGGTTTCCATTGTGCCAATTTTGGTATGAATTTTTCAGCTCCGCATAAATCAGTTCAAAAAAAAATCAAACAAGCGACAGTAGGACTTGCTTTTATTCAAGAATTATTTGCTTGAATCGAAATGGGACTAAAATTTGAAATTCCATAATCGCTAATATGACGTCAAATTTATAAGCAGGAAAGGATGTGGGGAAAGTGCATGAAACAGGCTGCTGTCACAAATTCGGTGCACATTTCGCCGCGACTATCGATTGATCGGTATTGCCTACCGTGCGCATGCTTGGCGCGCGCGAAATGGACTATAAACGCAGCCAGCCTGCGATCTAGCTGTGGAAGTTTTTCTAACAATGCGGCGATGTCTAGACATTCTTTTTCTTGAGATAGGTACACAATGCACTAAAAATAATTTTTAGCCCTCAACAGTCTCATATATTGACATCGAGAAATAAAAGCGCGGCGACGGGCGGCGTTGCTCATAGAAAAAGAAATGGGATAGGGTTACATGGGTCAATGACAACGAATTGTATTGGTTCTTTTAGGGGGCAAAAGGCTAAGAATATAAACAAATAGGGTCACTAATAAAAAATGGACATAAAACACCAATGACAACATCGAGGCTCGGCGAATCGTAATCGAAGCGCGTCATGTACAAGTAAGGACGCACTATTTTTGGGTTGAAAGACCCTCAAAAAAATTTTTTTTCGCGCCCCCGACACCCGTCGAATGACCCCCTCTTAATTCAACAAGACAATGCGGAAACTAGCGTTTTCGGCTCTCGTCGACGCATGTTTGCAGATCGACGCCCGAGCCGCGCCGAGCCCCGTCTCGAGGTAGTCAGTGGGCCCTCACTCGCGCGCTGCCCGGTACTCTTCAAACAACTCCTCGATGGTCACTGGCGCACGATGACAAGCTCAGAGTTAGCCCCGTTTTTATCACTATTATTGGCCCTTGGGGCCATTTCATCCACCCACGCAGTTCATACGGGTCTATCCTCTCATATTCTGCCATATTCCTATGATGTTACGATAAAAGTGCCGGTATTGGAGCATTACCGGGGCTTTACCGGATCTCTGGTAGTGCACTTCAATCTGACTACTACTTCCTATAATATTACTCTACATGCAAGGAATCTCTACTCACTGCGCAATGTCTCCCTGATCTCCTCCCAAAACGCTACTGACTCTACCCTAAAAAGCACCAAAATCCACCCAGAAACTGTCGAATTCACCTTCCTGGACCCTTTATCCCCGGGCGAGTACCTGTTAACGATCGGCGAATACAATGGCCGCCTCAGCAACTCGTCCACCGGCGTAATTCAGCGTAACCTTGATCTTTTTACCACTCATCTACAACCGCATTTTGCCCGAGAACTCCTGCCATGTGTCGATCATCCATCGGTAAAAGCCGCATTTCGATTTACCGTAATCCATCCGAGTGGTACGGTAGCCGAATCGAACACTATTGCTAATGATGTGTTCGTCGTCGATTCGCTATGGCAGAAGACCGTATTCGCTCCGACACCACTATTGCCTACTTATTTGATTGCATTTTCTGTTACGCCAGCAACTTATAAACAGGTAAACTGATCTCAATTTATTGAAATTTTTGTTATTATCTTATTTATTTACTGCTTATAACAGTCCATAGCAACACATCCTTTATTTTTGTGAAGAAGATTACTTCTTTTATTTTAGATAGAATACTGTTTTTCGAGAAATACAATAAGCGATTTGTATGATGCTTTTCTGCTGTCAAAGCAAATTATTATCATCAAAATATTCGGCATTGGAACAAATTTTTGCGTCATAAGGCAACATTTATCTTAACAAAAATATTTTTTCTCGCTAATAATCACAACTTTATAAAAAAAAATGCCTCGATATCTTCAAAATGCGCCAGAGCTTGACGCAAAAAAATAGACATTACCATTATTACCGTAAGATTACATTATGGGATGAGCAGGTTTCGTTGGAATCGCCATCCGTACCTTTAGTTTGTTACATTTGATTATTATTAATTTTATAATTTTAGGTGTAACAAAACCTGAGGTAACAATTTTGTAGAGGATTTCGACACAATGATTGGTAAATAATCAAAGATAATGAAAAAAATAAGGTAAAATTCAAGTTTTACTTACTAGTTTCCCTTTTCTACTATTTTTATTCGAGGCTTTGAGATTCTAATTCACTGTTGCAATAAGATAATTATTTTATATCATTTAGAAAAATTTATGAACAGCAATATGTAGGAAATAAATAATAAAGTCAAACTGCTAAACAAAAAAAAATCACGGCATTTTTTTGTCAGTTGATTTACACTATTTTTATTCCAAGCCTAAGTGGCCCTATTGCATTGCATTTCTTGTCTTCTACCTACCCATGTATTGCTCAGAATTCATTTTCAATTGAGTAAATATTTACCCACCAATCTAGCGGCGCGGGTCAAAAAATTTTTTAGCACGAGAAGAACTCAAGTGGGCGTGGCTCGGGAGGCCCAAAACGAAGACTTTTGCAAATTGGTATTCGAAAAATTGGTAAAGTCTAGCCGCCGTCCAGGTGATATGGGCCAATTTCGAGCAAAGACAACCAAGAAATTTTCAAAAATAAAGCTACAAAATAAATATATAAAACAATAAAAGTAACTGAAAAAATACTATGTGAATAAAATATTGATTGAAAATAGTTAATCAAAGCTGATTAAGGTTCCACCTTTTACAACGTTGTTTTTTATTTAGGAAAAGTCAGTGATGTGAAGTTTCCGATCTTGCGTTATGTACAAAATAACATCATTAGACTTTTTTTATTTATAAAAAGATAAAAGACAGTAATCTTGACAGCATTAGGATTTGTAATATCAAAAGAAAAGTCTTTTTTCGCATTTTCTGGCAGATGGTTTTTTTCTCGAATAAAAATGAAGTGAAAATCGATTGCATTCAATGTCCAAAACGAAGATCGTAATTTACACGGAGTTCAATTAACTTCATGTAACTGATAAAATGAGTCTAATTACACTTGCACTGTATTATTAATGAAAAAGACAAAATAAAAACTATCGAAGCGTCTGTGTCAGACAATCATATGATTTAAGTACAAACTTAACACACAACACTGTAAACAAAAGTACAACGCAACAAATGACACCTGATTATATCACAAGCACAGATTAGGTCAACCTTTTCACGCTTTGACAAAACAAGAAAGATCAAATTAAAAGGGAGTTTTATTGATGGTTGTAAAAACAGATAAATAATTTTTTGTTACATTTGAGCTTTAACCAGAAAAAAATAAGTTATAATTGATTTGGGCAAAGCTGAACGTGCTGCAAGGGGAAAATGAGCTATGAGGACTGTCTGGGACCAGTTCTCGTCAAATTTGTACTTGCCAAACGATTTCTAAAGAAGCTGTGATAGGATAATGAATCAGAATCAGTAGAAAATAATGATACAACTAGATTGTGCAAAGGCGAACGTGCTATGAAGCAGGAAAGGAAAAATTCTGAGAGGCGGGGAGCAGTTTTCGTCAAACTTGGCTCAGTAGCAGAATAATGAAAGTCTCCATGCGTTCATCGAGAACCTACAAAACAAAAAATGATCACAACGACATACAATGTGATCTCCGGTTCAAAACATTCAAATAATGTCCGGCGGTGCTCGAGGTCTGTGATTCTTGGCTGTTTGCCATGACGCGTGACCCCTGCAATGCACGAGGGTGACAAAATTTTGTCAAAATATTGTTGTTTTAGGGTGAATAGGAATGTATTCAGCAATTCAGCAGTAAGGAAATTCAGTTTGGATGAAAAATGTAAATAAAAAATGGTTTCATATAAGAAAAGGAAATTCTTCTCCTTCAGCAGCTAAATTCAAAAATTTTCAATCACACGAAATTGAAAGTTATTCAGACTGAGGTGTGCCCCTGGTCCTCGAAATGAACTTAAAATATTCCCCATATCCTAGCCCATCCACCAGTTTTTTTTTGAAGAAAGACAACTGTCCCTCTGCGAATTTAGAGACACATTTACGCTTGTGACGAAATTTGCACAAATTCATTAGACGTTATTTACGCCTAAGAACACAACCAAAACAAATATAAAGGCAATAACAACAAGTCAACCTGTATTGTTTATGAGAGTATCTATCACCAGAGGAAAAGTAGATAAAATAAGATGGAAAAAAATAAATTTTTTCGGCTAGGAAACTTCGTGCTATCATTGCAAAAACTGTTCACATTTCATACAATTTTTCACATCGAAAGATAATAATTTACTTAACGCCAAACTATGTTTTTATAAGAATGTCCATTCCGAGGGCGATTAGAGTAAATAAGACGAAAAAGATAAATTTTTTTTGTAGCTTGGTAACTTCGGGCAGTAATTTAAAAAAATTTGCACATTTTATATCATTTTTTGCGTCGAAAAATAATACATTACCTTGCTGATGAAACTAAAGCAGTTGCTCGGAAAGAAAAAAGCTGAGTGAGTGTTGAAAACGTCAATGAAAAATCAGAGAGCTATCCAGTTAAACAAATTGATTACAATTGTTTCAAATTAAAAATTAGTTTGAAAGTTGCATTTACACTTTATCTTCCAATCACCATTGGAAATCCTGAGCTCAAATTTTTTCAACTGAATAATTTTTTGTCAGAGTTTTTTCAAAGCAATTTCTTCCAGATAACTCGACAAACATCGTTTGGGGTTACTGTACGAGTTCATGGCACATCGCAAGCGGTCGCTTTGCGGGTACTGGACATCGCCATTAGTTCGTTCGAGTTGTTGTCCAGCATTATGGAAATTCCACTGCCGCTAAATAAGGTTTGCATTTAATAAAGGGATCAAATGGACCGGGGGGGGGGGCGTTCAGTTACAGTTGGTAACCAAGAAAAATTTTTGTAGATCGACTTCATCCTAATCCCCGACTACGATGGTGGGATGGAGAACTGGGGTCATGTCCTCCTTTCTGAAAATCTCGCCACCTATGGAGATGATGCTCATCTAACCTATGTCATCGCCCATGAGCTAGCCCACCACTGGATCGGCAATCAGGTTACCATAGACAGTTGGAGATGGATTTGTTTGCAGGTTCGTTGTCATGTAAAATTCGTGGCATTACTTATTTTATGGAGGGGTGAATCACAATGCAAATGCCATGATGTCAACTTAGAATGGCAAATTCTAGCTGAGTCAGGTAAATATAATCACTGGGATTTGCCCTTTCTTTATTTGAAATCCCCAACTTCCTTCGATAACACCTGAAAAACAATTCCAGGAAGTTTATGATCAGTACCTCTATTGATAAACTTTTTACCGAGTATACTCAGTTCCCGTTTATGACATGTGACGGTTTTTGTAACGGTACGCAGTTATTGGTGCTAAACATAAAATTACGTTAAAAAAATCGTTTACAAGAAAATCACATCATATTATTGAACACTTACGAGATATCGCAATAACATTTGGGAGAAAGTTTCGGTCTGTTCTCTAGTATGAGCCACGAGCTCAAAATAAAGAATGAAGCAAAGAAAAAAATTCTGAGCGAAAAATTATGTAAATCTAGGTTTTCAAAATTTTTGGGTTTCACCTCGTGAGTGGATGAATTTTTTTATAGTAAGGCGATACCAACGGATGAATCGCTTAGGTAATTGTCTGGCTCGCTTAGGTTTATACATTTGTTTCTTTTCCCTTCTATAGAATGTTACTCTCCCCTATCCCATGCACTTGGCGAAATTTAGTGGTCCTGAATAATGAAGTTTTGTGAGTGATCAAAATAAATAATAAAAAATTGTGTGCATTAAAAATCACTTTCTAACAAAAATCCCTGCCTGTACGTTCCGGTCTTCAAAAGTTATAGGGCCTAAGCTTACAAAAAATCAAAAGAGTGCCCAAACTAATATTGGCAAACCTAGCTAGCACAATCTTTCTTTTGCTCCCCCCCCCCCCCCTCCCCCCGTCTTCTTCTCTGCCAAGCCTCTCCAAGAAAAATTTTGTACTTCTATTGCTACATATACACCCGCGACATTTTCACAAAAAGCCTGTTATCATAATGTCGGTCACCATATTCAAAGTTTTTCATAAGTTGACTAATTCTTTTTCATCCACCGTCAGCGAAAAGAAATTCGCACTCTGCGGATCACCGTGCTGCATGTTATAAACGAACCAAGCCAAGTGATAATTTTGAATCATTCAATCTACCATATTTTGATTGAGATCAAGCCTTTCATTCACGAAAAGACAATCTAAACAAGTTTTTGAATTTCATTTAAGAAGATGAACTAAACTGATGAAAAAGTTGAAAGAGCACCAATACTCCAAAATGAGGAAAGGCAAGAGGAATTCAGAAGGTTTCATGTCAGCAATGTTTTTCAAGGGGGAGGAGGCACGCTGTGCATCAACAACACTCGTAAACAAGTTTAGTAATCAACAGGGAGGGAGGGATATGAGGAGCAGGGAGGCTCCTGATGTGTATTTTGAAGAATTCCCCTTGAACCTTTTAAGATGAAGAGGGCAATGCAAAGAAGTTAATTTGATGAATCTGATTTTTCTTACCCTTTAGGGCACTAACGATAACAAAAAATTGAATATTGGTAAACTGAAGGAGACAACAGTTTTGAGCTGTTACGTGCAAATGGGAATGTGTGTAATTGCGTACAGCGACGTCCAAAAAAGGCAGACACTACCTTCTGCTTTTTCTAGTCTGCATTGAAATAGATGCATTTCAGTAGTAAGATCCAGTTAAGTAAAGGAGTAATTACGAAAAGTACGAAAATTGTGAAATTATTAAAATTGATACGTGAACAATGGCATCAGTCTCAGTTGCGGATGCGTTAGTGCAATTACACACAATCCCATTCTGGCAACTCGTCTATGCCAAGTCTAGGATTTAAGAAATCTTGAATCGAGGGTAACAAGTTATAAATAATCCAGAATTGAAGTGTAAATGCTTCTGCGAATAGCTGAGCGGATTCCAGACATGTTCGTTAATATTCTAACCACATTCCTAGTCTAAGAATAGCGCCGTGCGCTCCCGCCGCCGACGCGACCGCGCGCGTCAGCCGCGCTGCCCTTTGTGTACGCGTGACGCGTAACTTGTGTGTGTTGTTTTCTTCTGCAAAACTGCGTCTCGCTCTCGCAGGTGCCTCTCCCACACCTTTCGACCTCAATCACTCCCCCCGTTCGCTGCGCTCCATGTGCCCGGGGCGATTTTTGATGTCCAGCAGTGGACGAGTTCCGTGTCTGCCCTGCGCCCCTCTGTTTTTCAGCGATGTTTTCTTGTTTTTGCCGACGGCATGCACACATACACATACACATACACACATCGCAATCGCAACAACTTGAAACCGCATCGCTGTCACGTGCGACTGCGATTGGAGGGATCGAGAAAAGGGCTGTACAGCTTTGAGGAATTTCTAGTAGCTGCTGCTTGACTCCTGGATTTATTTGGACAGAATTCAAAAAAGAACCCTTAAGAACGTCTGTAACCTCTGCGAAGAACGTCTGTAACCTCTGCGCTCAAATAGGAAAGTAAGAGTGAGTCATTTGGTGAACTTGCACACTGCGTACAGCAAACCACGACTCCTTTACAATAACCTGTTGTTAGAACCCCTTTAGCGGAAATGCTGTCACAATGTGCGCTAATACCTGCTACTCATGGAGCCAAGCTAAAAAGTAGAAGAAAAACAGAATTATCCGGGTATTGACGATTTTAGGCACGAAAGTCTTAGAATATCGGGCTCAGTGTGCAGTAACACAGTAGATCACAAGTGATTTACCTGTAGTCAATGGAGAAAGATGATGAGCGAGAGTTATGCAATATCATTAACGAAGAAGGATAAGAATATGTTGGGCTGGATTTGATTTGGGGACGATTTCCTTTTTTTGGGTTTTTTGGGATGCCTGAATAGTAATATTGGGTTGTCTCTAATTAATGCACGTTTGTTGAATTTCATCATGTTTTCAAGGTCAGTAAAAACTACTGAAAACGTGTTTCAAAATTGTAGTCCCTTTGTTTAGGTTTGTCAGAGTCGAGGTTACACTGACTAAGCTTATCATTGTTACAACAACATTACTAGCTTACTCTTGAAACATATTTTAAGAATCTCGTTAAAATTTTCATTCAGACTTTATGAGGAATGTTTGCAAGCATATTAGTAGAGTTTCTTCAATTTTTCGGGCAGTACATGTTAAAATTTCTAATAAATTATTCTCCAGCTATCAGCAAAGGGGAATTATCACTTCACCACATTTTTTTCGAACTCTTTGGACTGATGCAACCAAGGGAGGGGGAGGGAGTGTCAAGAAATTGTCATTCTGTTATATTTTCCAGAACATTAGTAAAACCTCGTCATGAGTTCTCAATCGCTTACGTTAGCTTTATTTAAAAAAAGTTCTTTCAAAACCTCTTTCACCTAAAAAACTGTGTTTATCAATTTGGCCATTACAAAATCTGTTTTCTGCTCATATGACAAAGATTTAGATTATCACAGCTTAACTATAATGTGGGAATGAAAGCTGCTTCTTTTTTTGACACTGATGCCTAAAGCTGGCTCAGCGCTATCAGAGCTGATAATCCCCAGACTGATGTACAAAAAAGGTAAATGTTTGCTCAGGCATCAAGTGGGTGTCTGTTAATATTGACAAGAAATTAGGAAGCTTGGAGAGTGGGGGGGGGGAGGAGGGAGGGGGGGGGAGGAGGAGCAAAAATATTGTACTGAAGTTGATCTTGATATCAAAATAGCTAATAATGTTTTTTTAGGAAGATCTCACCGATTACATCTCCTACAAAGTAGCCGCTGCCGTCTTGGGTCATGATGCGAGATGGGACCGATTTATGCTGTCGAAATATGTGGCTATTCAACTTACAGAGGATTTCTTTGCTCCAGAACATTCTTTGGTCATGCCTGACAATATTACGCGGAACCTCGTAAGTTTTTTTGATTTTCATGTCAAGATAATATAAGTATAACACTGAAACACTTGTGTAATATCATCTACACTTTGACGCGTTGCTGTCAGCTTGTGCAGCACTGTCTTGATGCCTTTGAGTCGTGGATGAAAAGTCAACAAAAGAAGAAACACTGCGCAATTTGGTGGTGCGTATTAATAAGTAAAACTTTTGAATGAAACTATTTTTGATTTTAGACTTTTTGCCTTTATGTTTTATTATCAATACGCTAGACCGCTCTAAGTGAATGACACCATAAATATTACGGTAACCTGAGCATATGGTAACGATATTCAAAAGTGTTGGCTAGAAATTATTGATGGGTTTGTGCTAGGGTCAGTTTTTTGTTACCAGACATTCCTTCAGGATGGGGACTAACCATAGGAAACAAACCACACCCAGAATAAATTCTCCAAAGTATCATGACTTATAATAACCGGCTTAATCTGAAGTTGTGTGGAGTTTGTCCGTTACGAAATTACAGTGAGGAATGATTTACGATACTAAACATCATGTGAGGTTAAGAAGCGAGTATGGTTCATTTTTAACTACGGCTCACGTTGCAATAAACCGAAAAATGATTTGAGAGACAAGCTCTCAGAAAGTGAGTTTACCACGGTTCACGATGCCAGTGCGAACCTCTGCGAAGCAGAGGTGAAGCACTGGTAAGGATATATATTCCTTTCCTAATTCATTCATGATGGAAAAATTCATACTCTATACGCTCGCCCGAACCGTATCTCTTTCGAGTGGGTCAGTAGAGAATATGGTGCGGGCGAGACTTCGGAGTTGAATTGGTTGGCGAATGAGGTGCATGAGCTGCCTTCTGGGCATAAAAATTTAGTCAAGACTTCTCAGTTAGTTCTCACATAGGATTCCGGGAGCTTAGATTTACTTTGGACACTGCCGTCGAATCGAGAAGACCACACAAATGGGAAAGAACCATTATTAGTCACAATTTAGTGGCGTTGCCTTCTTTCTAGTAACTCATTGTTGTTTACGTATTTTGCTGATGTTTACAGTTTCTCGCACCAAATATAGACAGACAGCTTCCTTGTTATTGGCTGCCATTCATGTACATACTATCACAAACATCATCAATAGAGCGCGTATTTGTCAACAGAGCGTGAGTGTCTCAATTGAGTACGCGTGTCTGATGAGTTGTTGCCAGTCAGCAGCTGCAACATACGCTCTCGTAAACATTGCGTACATTTCATGTCTGTCCCTCAAGAAAACGCGCTTGGGTGTGATGCATGTTTTTTGTTTACGCGTTTCGATATATATATATGTTGCGAGTGTCTGCCATAACAATACTATGAGAAAAACAAGGCTGAGTAAATGGCGAATAAAATTTAGCCGATAGGGTAGAAATAGACTACTTCATAGAATATCGAAGTGAAGGGTTTCCCAAGAATGCTTTTATCCTCCCAGATTAACCTGATACTAATTTACCGTACTCGGAAGAGTGTAGGAGCCTGGTTGATTGAAATGGCCGTTTTGCACTACAGTATCCAACTTCAGTCCTGCATAACTTGTCCTAACACGTCATGCACGCGGCAACACGCGGCAAATGCATCGCGCGCGACAACGGTCCTGCGCAAAAATGCTCTTAGCAGCATTATGGTAGCCAAATGGGCTACTTCTTGCTTTGTGTTCAGCGCCAGAAATCGAACCCTGATCAAGTCACTCATTGCGGCGCCTCATACCATAGGCCAACCTTTCTTATAGGCGACTAATATCACCCAATTGCAGATTTCTTCACACTGCTACCTTAAAGGAGTTGTACTGCTTGAAAGTATGGAAACGATAGTTGGCGAGGAGTATATGCTCTCAGCTATTCGTAATCTTGTGGCCACAAGAAAGTCTTTCAATCTGGACGATTTTTTGCTTTACTTTAAGGGTATCCCAGTTGACAAGAATATATCACTAGCTCAGGTAAGAAATCATTACCACTAAAAGAGCTCATTGTCAGACAGAAACTCTGAAAATGACCAAAATTTTCTAGGTATACCAGTACTGGTTCCTTACCGGCGGTTTCCCTGCCTTGGCCGTGTTCAGCAACTCGATGGCACTCGAACTTCAGCAACTTAGCCCAGCTCCATGGCCCCTGAGAATATCGTCCAAGCATAGTCTTCCTGTGTTCCTCTTCGCCCAAACTCTTACGACATCCCCCGCGAATTCCGAAGTCTTAGTAAATCTAAACTTCACATCCTTCTATAGGGTCAACTATGATCCTATAGCATGGATTAATATTTTCAAGTATGTTGCTGAGCATGAGTTTCATACGGTACACCATAAAGTGCACTTTTAGCCGAATTGATGAAAAACCCGAGCAGTTTTCTGCTGTTGGTCGAGCTCAGCTTGTCAGTGACTTCTGCTACTTCTATGCCCATGATCAAGTGGATCGTGGAGCTGCTATCAAAGAAATTGTTATCGATATGGTAAACACTTTTAACGGATAGTTTTTATTATAAATAATCATTATTTTTTATCCAAATTATCTTTTCAGGTTTATCGAAACTCGGAGTACTTCGAGCTATGCGACTGGCACCTTTTTTGGTGTCACTCAACGGCACCTGCCACTCTAACTCAGTTACTGAGGCATTTGGCCCTCGGTGTCACACAACTGTTCGACAATGATGCAGCCTTTGGTTGTCGAACTGGGCTCGCAGCCAGGAATCTCAACGCAATCTGTAACAGCGTCTTCGGGACGAGATGCATCTGAAGTTACTGTTGTCAGTGCATAACCATCACTGAGCACACGCTTCAGCGATACAAAAAATTATATTGATTGAGTTTGTCACCTCACTGGTATCTCTCATAATGTTTAGGACTTCTTATGCAGTTTTGCCCATTGGCCTTGAAATTAGGCAAAGCAACACTGCAATAACAGCAGACTGCATCGCCCGTAAAGCTGGCGCTATAGTGTCTTGGTCCAAAGAAATTCTGCCATTTGTTTTCAATTAAAACCATTTTGTTTTTTGGCGAAGCTCTCATTGTGCTCTGCAACCCAGCCGATTTGCTATTTTTTGACCAGTCAGTATAAATCGACCAGGTCGAAATGTTTGGAAAAGATGCGCTAATGGCGAAGGCGAGTAGCATGCCCCGGACGAAGACCACACAATATATACATTCTCTTTGCTCAGATCCTCTCTTTTCTTTTTATTTTTGAGGGATCGGACAGACTGCGCGGCGTACGCGAACAAGCAGCGTACAGAGTTCCCGCCGCTTCGACGGGTGCTTCGAGGGATCGTTCAGACCGCGCATAAAGGCGCACGAAGGCGCACAAAGGCGCACAAAGGCGCGTCTCGTCTCGTCTTGTTTATCTCGACACACACGCACACTCACACACGCCTCCGTGCGCCTTCATGCGCCTTTGTGCGCCTTTGTGCGCCTTCATGCGCCTTCATGCGCCTTTGTGTGCGGTCTGAACGATCCCTTATGAGGCTCTGCTTAATAGTGGAGGTCGTGAGGTTTGCGGCCATTGGGTCGCTCACCCAAAATGTTGATGTGCGGTTTTCGTCAGCCTGAATTTAGGCTGGAAAACGAGTATTGATTTGCCATTCGAACCAAAAAAATGTACGCGAAGAAAAACAAAAACTCAGGCTTTCCAGCTTACAGTCAGCTTCAGCAAATTGGGCATGCGGCTAGTGACTCAAACCTCACCGACCTTCACAATCAGGCGGAGCCATATACCATGGTGCGCTGAGTGCGGTGCCACGCTGACATCTGCCTGCATACGTCACCGCCAAGCAACTTCAGTTCTTTTCGAGACTCGCGAAATAGCCTAAGTCAATGTGTCTGTGCGAGCGCTGGCAGCATCTACGAAATCTGCGTACTCCGCGCAGTATGACCGCACCCAAATCACTTAAAATCACTTACTTAGTCTTACTGCGAGTTGCTGCGTTATTGATAATCCTAACTGTTTTTCAAAAGTATGTCCAAGTAGATTTGTGAACTTCGATTTCATGCACTATCCTCAAATCATACTCTATTTACCCCTATGACTGTTCTGATTATGTCTGCAGCTCTCACCTGTGATCGCTCATCCACAAAAGTAATTGTGCTTACAGTTATCTCTGTCCAGCGATTATTCTGTCGGGCACATTTTACTGGCTCATATTTGCGCTTGAGCCATCAACACTACTTTACTACCCTTTCCATCTTATTCAACAAATCCGACATGCCTTTTCTGTATAGATTCATTTTGAAAATCACTAAAAACTGCCCACTTTCGTTGTTCCCAAAACAAGTTATTTAAACAGTTTGGAAGCACTCTTCGTGAATCCTACTCTTTCAGAATTTTGCGATATTCCTATATGAAGCTCACCTAGTGATTTGATGCAGTATTTTCGTGATGTTTGTTCCGGTGTTTCAGTTACGATTTCCTTCAACATTACGTGTTGCCTTGTTTTCACCTTTAATTTGTCTTTTTAACATAAAACCATAAAACTCGATAATTAACTCTAGGGATGAATAAGAGTGTACGTCGAACGTTTGATCATTAGAAACTCCTTGGTATGTGAAGCTTTACAATGCGGAGTGGATCACCGATCGCTCTTCACAACTGTAGGATTATGGTAATATAAAGAGAGTTTAACTTTGCAGAATGTTTCATTTTGCCTCTGAAAGCAGACCAAGCAATCTTAAACTCCCGCACTAAGCTAATCAGAGCCTTCGAGTCTAGAAGGTGTTCTTTTCCTTCATGCTTTTTTCTTTCGTTGTGCTAAGTATACATTCACAACTGCCCTCTCAATGTTCCTCAAAGATGCGATTATGGCAATCGAAAGGCCTTAGAAGCCTGAAAAATTTGCACAAAATTGGAATTGGAACAGTTTGGTGTCTTCTGAAATAGTAAATTAAGAGAATTGGATGGTCAATTTCGCTCGCTCAAAAATTATTCTTTGATAGCGAAGTGGTGCAGGAAACAAAAAGGTAGATTTTTTCGCCAAAAAACAAACTGAAACTGGGTGTAAAATGCACGAATGGTGCGCACATTTACGATTTTCATATAATCAACCATTTGCATGGCCATAGATGGTCAAATGCAAGCGATTCAAATTGCCCCAAAACTGACTCCCACGCGCAGAAACCCGGAAATTCTCATAATTTTGCCTGCAGGAATATAAAATATAAACAACAGAGCACAGCCTCCACTGTGGTTTGTAATTAGCCAAAGGTTGTATGTAGTCAGCTACCGAATTACTCGTCTGTGCACTTACTACAATCTGAGTACGGAACTTGGAAACTCAAAAAAGTAGTTTTTTGGAAGGCTAGCCATATAAAATCATAACTGTGTTTGGTTAAGCTTAGGAAGTCTGTATAAGAGTATGTGACAATAGAAGCTTGATGCCTACTGTTCACAAATATTGAAAACTGAAGAAACAAAACAAAGAAATCAGATACTTGAGTTTTTATGAGTTTCGATGTTGCATGTCAAAACGAAATTATTTATTGATCAACCTAATCACATACTGGCTGGGGTGGCTCTGGATGAACTAGGTATACGCGGGTTGTTGCGGCTCGGTGTGCTCAGCACCCCTCGCCCTAGTGCTCGTCCGCCTGACGACACAACTCCTAACTCCAGGACATACTGCTTCGGCGCTAGTGCGCGCACTCTAGCGCGTCCGCTCGACGCCAACATCCCAGACCCGTACGAACAAACAATCACAACACGACTAGATTAAATCACATTTACTAAAACATAAGAACAAACACAAAACCCTAAAACTACTAAAAGGACTACTACTACTAGAGAAAGAAAATAGGCACGGGACGAGCCGCTTCGTCCCGTGCTGCCGATGCTCCAAGAAGATCATCTCCAACGTGTAGTTCCGGGTCCTCCACTGGGTCAACCGCAAGCCCCTGGCCCATACGGGACGGCGTGACCCCTCTCCACTCCCGCAATCCTTTTCAACTACTCGCTAGACTACAACCTTAGCTGCGCGTCTCCATACACAAGAAGATTATCAAAGCTCAACCGCTCGAAACCGTTGATCATCTGCGGGAGCTACTGGAGGCGCTGCCAGCGGGTTGATGTCATCAAAAAATCGATAACGAACGAAGCTCGAGGAGGCGTAGACCGCGGCCTGCGCGCCCTTATATACCCTGTGACTTGGCAACGCGCCCAGTAAGGGAGAGGTCTTGGCGCGAAATTGATAGCGCGCCAAGTAACGCGGCAGCCAGCGCTCCCGGCCTCCTGTTTCGAGGAGTGGCTTGCATCGCGCGAGCCGCGACACTCCCCCCCGAAACAGTGGACTTGGACGTTCGGATGGTGGTTACGTGATAGCGCTGGAGTCCACAACGGAGGGCACCTAACTGAGTGTAACGAAAAAAGAAACAATGCCATCGGCAGCACAGTAGAGCGCGCGACGAAAAAATTGGATGAGTAAAACCCGGCCCGCGCTAAAATAAACAAGTAATAAGCATAGCAAAAAAATAAACTTAGAACGACACGGGATCAATACAGGTAAATACGATTAAATGGATAAAAGTTATACTACTAAACAGCTAAATAAACTAACTACTATTCAAAGATAACTACGTACAATAACTAAATATAAAAAAGTTTTGTCGGCGGCTAGAGGCGCAACCAGTGGAGCACCATGCTGCGTCCAACCAAACCAAGTGACCATACGTGGATCAAACGCGTACCATAACTGCGATGACACTCGACCGCGCGTCCACACGCCAACCACTGCATACTGCTCGATCTTGCTGAAACAATCGCAGTTTAGGTCAAATAAATCTCAACAAATCATACTCTCACTCCTCTCTGAACACTGCTACGCACTAGCTCGCCCTAATTTTACTTACGCGCGCCACGGTGAGGCAACGGTGTTCAAGCGCGCGCTTACACAACACCCAGATGGAATTGGGTTACGGGTAAATAAAATAACCAGAAGGCACGACTAACACACTAGCTTCACATGTTTCGCTCGCGCAAAAACGGGCGTTGTCACTTGCTGCTGAGCAGCGAGACTTACGCGACCAGCTAAGTAAAAGAGTGGACTTCAGTCCAGCCTCCCGCGAGAGCAGGGTGATGTAACCGGGCACTGGACGATGGCTGGTCTCTTCGTTGATCACGGCGGAGCAAGGACACATCGACCATGTCGGGATTGCTGTGCGTAGACCGTTGTTCTTCTATAGTGCCTCCTGGCTAAACGACTCGACCTGAACAAAAAAATGTATGTACTTGAATCAAAACGCGCGGATGTTTTGCGCTGCTAAAACATAAAATAGTCATGGTGAGTAGAAGTCGTTTGCGCGTGATGTAAAATGCGCTATAGGTAAGTGTAAATAAGGTGTAAAGGGCTCAATACAAGGAAGAAGAAACTGAAAAAAAGCAGAATTTTGAAACAGTTTTAGTGGGGTAAGTGTGCACAAAGATTGGATAGGACGCAAAATAACGGAGTGCACTTCCAGAGTGTCCGAAAGATAGAAAAGAAAATAAGGAATGAAGAAAAATTAAATTTTACTCTTCTTACTTGCATTGTTCCCTCGCTGAGGTCCGTAATCTATAGTAGTCGACAGAGTCGATATGCAAATTTATTGCAAAGAAGCCCAAGTGAGGTGAGATTATCAGTATGGAGTGAGCTACAATGGAGCGCTAAACGTTGATACAGCAAAATTACATAAGCACATCAAAAATATGAGAAATGACTTATAAAAACTACTGAGATAACAAATACAAAAAATGTGAGCGCGTAAGGGCTCTAATCTAAAGCGTATGACGAGCGCCATCATTCGCTGATGTTGCTGCTTTCTCCGTTACTTTCGAGGCGCGATCGCGCTGTAGCCGGCATTTCACGTCGGGACCTCAAAGGTGTTGAAGTTATAATTAGGACGGAAAAAGACTAAGTGATCGCGCGACTAGCGCTCATCATCGATAAAGAGAAATGAGGGAAATGAAAAGAATAAGAAAGTAAATGAAGGAACATAATGAAATCAGAAATTTTACTTACGCAAAGATGCTGTATCTTCCTGATTAGTTCTTAGACACTCCACGATGACGATATTGCGCCTTCGCGCTACGCTGACAATCACTTTGAGAGGGTTCCTCACTCTCTGCTACCACTTCCAGAGGCAATAAATGGTTCACTGCACGGTCGACTATCCTCCTTTTGCCTGTTCTAATTCTGGCTGATCTTACGTTGCCATCTTTTGAGGTGTGTAGTTCCAAAATAAGTCCCAATGGCCAGCTTGATCTCGGCGCGTCCTCTTTGACGAGCACAACTTCACCGACTCTTGGTAGTTTCATAGAAGACCGGGTTTTCGCGCGTACAGCTTCTCTTTCTGCCAATACTGATAGGTACTCCTTCTGCCAAACATCCCAAAAACGGTCTAAGTCGGTCTGCAGTGTTCTGTAGCGCGTGTTAAGCGCTTGATAGTTGTCGCTCGACGAGTTTTTAACCTTCTGAGGCAGACTGTGAGTCAAGCGCGCTATTCGGAACTGTGGCGATATCAAATCGATCGGTCGAATAGCCGCATTTGCACTGGGATTTACCGAGTTTACCGGAAAGAGTGGCCTGGTGTTGAGAATGGCCTCTATCTCTATGATGAGCGTTTCAAAGAGCCAAAGTCTGATTCCGTATCGCCTTCTTCAGCGCGATCTTCACTGATCCGACCAATCTCTCGTAAAATCCCCCTTTCCAAGGCGAGTACGGGGTTATGAAGCTCCACTTGATGTTATGACTCATCAGAAATTCGTCCATCTGGGAATCATCCGTAACCGTCGTCAGCTGATTCTTGATAATCTCCTGTCCCAATTTGAAGGTCGGCGCGTTATCACTGGTAACACTGTCCGGTGTTCCTCTGCGTGCCATAAACCTTCTGAAAGCAAATATAAACTGAAACGCAGAGTTGTCTCTTACCACTTCCAAATGCAAAGCGCGCGTCGACATGCACGTGAAGAGGCAAACCCAGACTTTATGGCGATCGCAGTTCAGCAAACGGACGGAGATAGGCCCAAAATAATCTAAGCCAATATGCTGGAACGGACGACTCCTCGTAACTCTTTCAGCTGGTAAATCAGGTGGACTCGGATAAGTGCATGGGCGACCCTGATATCTTTTACAGATTACACACCTGGAAATAAACGATTTTATTATACGTTTTAGTTTGGGTATGAAGAATCTCTCACGTAGAGCAGTTATCAAATGTGACGGTCCTGCGTGAAAGAGCTGATGATGGTAATGCGCGATCAACTTCTCGCAAAGAGGATGAGATGAAAGTATGAGGATGGGATTCCTACTTATATCGCTCATCTGCGCGTTGGTCATACGCAAGTCAACTCTTATAGTACCGTCCGTATCGTACTTCGTGTGGAGTTTCTTCACATACGATCCGTCCATTTGGCGCTGACTTTCGCGATAATGTTCGCGTATAAGTACAAGTTCAGCTGCCGTAAAGTCGTCCGATGTTATACTGGGAATAGTATCTATCGTGCTAAAAAGAGAGCATTCGTCCTGATCTTCGCGCTGAAAGCGCGTCTTGACTCTATGACGCAGTTTAGCCAGATATTTAAGGACGTATGCTGTGATACGAACTAACTTTGCGTACGAATTCGTACGTGTAAATGGCACGAAAGATCTATACGTCTCTTGGATGTTACTAACCGAAGAAACAACTGCCCTTGGTACGCGAATTTCTTCCGATTCTGCTCCTGCGGGTGTTACATGTGATGGCTCGAAAGCCTTGCAGGGCCACTGTTCGAAGGGCGTCGTGAAAAAACCGGGACCTGTCCACCAAATGTGTTGTTCAAGTTCAGATGTTGTCAATCCCCGGGTGGCAGAGTCCGCTGGGTTAGTGTCCGTGGCCAGGTAATAGAATCCGGTGGCGATTTCGTCTGCCTTCAGCTCATCCAAAACACGACGAATATACTTGACGCGATTGATGACGTAGGTCTTAAGGGGCTTGTGGGACTGTATCCAGTAAAGGACAATCTGCGAATCAGTTAGAAACCTGATGGAGTGGAATCTAACTTTGAGCTGGCTTCTCAAGAACTGCACTGTTTTCGCTGCCATATGACAAGCCAAGAGCTCCATGCGCGGGATCGTAATAGCGCCGGGTGGAGCTAACTTTGCCTTGGCAAAGAGAAGAGATGATTGAGGCTTGTCATTATGAGGGCGCGTCACGATGTAGGCAGTCATGGCATACACTCGTTTGGACGCATCTGAACACACGACCAGATCGTACGTATCTTCTTCGGTATAGCCAATGAAGCGCGGCATCCTCAAACGAAACTCGCTTATGTCCTGCACGATCGTGTTCCACTTCTGGATATCCTCATCAATCAGCGTATCGTCCCAGCCATAACCAGACTCCCACAGGTCCTGTATGAAAATCTTGGGTTTTATCAGCAACGGTGTCAAGAATCCTAGGGGATCAAACGTCGACGCGTAGACTTGTAGCGTGGTCCTCTTACTGACAACTGGTTGACGCGCGATATTGATAGGCACGTGTAAAACATCAAGCTTAGGATCCCATTTGACTCCTAAAAACTTAGCGAAATGTCCTTGGATGATCATACAGCTCTCTTGAGGGATCGCAACTAATGCTTTCTGATTGTTGGACATAAACTCCCGGAGGTTCATGCCCATCCTGGCAAAGGTGTCCTTGCACTCCATACACTTGTCCACACAATCCTGGGTGGTCTTCGATCCTACTATCACGTTATCCACGTATGTATTAGCAAGGATCTCTTCCTTGAGACGGTTCGCTGGATCCTGTTCAAGAAAGTATCTGATGGACATGCTAAGTAGAAATGGTGATGCGTTTATGCCAAATGGCAGACGCGCGAAGCGCATGATACGTAGATTTTCCGTTGAGGGTGGCTGGTGTACGTCCTTCAACCAGAGGAATCTAGTAGAGTCTCTTTGATCCTGATGTAAATGGATCTGATGAAATGCTTTCTCCACGTCCGCTATGACAAGATAACGATGGAAGCGGCTTCGCATCAGGGTTCCTACCAGGTCGGGTAGCAGGGACGGTCCTTGATGAAGGCAGTCATTAAGACTAGGGAAACCTTTCTGGTGGCTAGACGCGTCAAGGACGATTCGCAACTTTGTAGTCGAGCTCTCCTGCTTGTGAACGGCTTGATGTGGTATGTAATAAACATTGGGGCCTCGCGCGACAACGTGCGTGACATCTTCTATTATTCCTCTCTTCAACTGCTTCTCGAATGTCTGACAATATTCATCCCATACCGATGGTGTAGCACGAAACTTCTCGTACTGGTTCTGCAGTCGACGAAAGGCTAGTGCTTTGTTATCAGCAAGAGGAGGATGATTCGATTTCCATGGGAAGGAGACATAAATCTTGCCATCCTCGATCCTGACCGTGTCATAGAAGTGCTTGATGACGTTAGCATCTTCTGCATTCTCATGTTCTTCTATCGCAACTGTGTCGAGGCCAAGAAGACTTCGCACAAGATGGTCGCTTACCGGCTCGTCATCCGTAAAGAGGGTCTTGGAGGCTAAAAGGGTATTGGAGACAACCGGGTACTTTAATCCAGATAGAACTGGTCCAAATCTGGTGTGCGACAAAGTCAAGCCAGATGGTAACTTCTCGTTCTTGTGCAAGTCTACAACCCGCCAATAGTTATCAATTCCAATCAACACATCGACCTCGACTCTATCCTCGTAATCGACGATGTCGCTGTCGTTTCGGGTATTAGTCCGTGGGACCGTCGTGATAGTCTCGCGCGTCCATAACTCGAGTTCAATCGGGTAGTTATACTGGTCCCAGAGTACGAGTGTGACCTCTGACGATTCCTCCGTAAACTGATGACCTCCGAATGTCAGAGTTGTGACTTCCTTTGTATTGCGGAACGGTAAGCCTAGGTGTTTGGCTAGCGACGTACAGATGAAGCTGTACTGCGAGCCACTGTCCAAAAACACTGTCAGAAGCTCCTCCGTTCTCGTTCTATAGTTCTTCGTCACAGCATGTACTACCATTAGGCGTGGCTCCTGGTGCACTGACTCTTGAGAACAAACAGAAGTGCACGATGATGGTGAATGTGAGCCTACACAAGCTTGCTGATGATCGGGAGGTTCTGCTTGCGCGTCCCTGGTAGTACAAGGTAACTCAGTAGTACGGGTGGC